GACAACTTCCAGAAAAGGGGAAGACAACAGGCACTGAACTATATGCCAATATGTCTAACATGTATACTGTCAAAACTCCTGGAGGAAAGAGAAAGAAAAAAATATTAAAGCACTTGGAGAAAAGGGGATTTAAAAAAAATAGGGCTGGAAGGTTTAGTGATTAGTTTTGATTATAATAATAATCAGGGCTGGAAAATCCAGTCTTACAAATCTGCTGGAGTTCTAGTCACAGAGATAAAACAAGAAAGAGGGCTGCATCTTCTTGGACTCCAGGAAAGCATTTAATAAGAAGCACACTAGAGATAGGAGAGGAGAGGACAGTGATAAACTTCTGAAAGACCTCAACAGACTATGCATATGGTTAAACAGGTGACTTGACATTAAAAAAAAAAAAAAAAAAAAAAAAAAAAAAAGTCAAGTCACCTGTTTAACCATATGCATAGTCTGTTGAGTCTTTTTAGAAGTTTATCAAAGGTCTTCCTCTCCTATCTCAGTGTGCTTCTTATTAAAATGCTTTCCTGGAGTCCAAAAAGATGAGCCCTCTTTCTGTTTTATCTCTGTGAACTGTAGAACTCCAGCAGATTTGTAAGACTGGATTTTCCAGCCCTGATTATTATTATAATCAAAACCAATCACTAAACCTTCCAGCCCTATTTTTTTTTAAATCCCCTTTTCTCCAAGTGCTTTAATATTCTTTTTTCCTTTCCTCAGGGTTTTGGCGTATACTGTTAGAGGCACTATGCATATGTTAACAGGTTGACTTGACATGAATGATATAAAATAACAATACAAAAAAAAAAAGACATGTAGTATAATGCTATTTATTATTTACACTACCAATAAAGGATTGCATTGTGTTTTTGTGTATTTTTTCCAAACAGGTGACTTCTCAAATTCAGTCTGAACAAATGCAAGGTCATATGAACAGAAGGTGAGAGTAGACAGGATTGAGTACAGCATGGATATAGAGAAGCTGTAAATATCAGAGTGAAAAGGACCTGGGGTATAAACAACAAGCATAGTGCTAGAAATACACAAACCATTTATTGCATATTATGTCATCAGCAGCATATGTAAGATTTGGAAACATCAAAATATTCTTCAGCAATGTAAAGAATCCTTTAACCCTTTCAGGGTTTCGGCCGTACTACTACGGCTTACGCGCAGGGTTTTTTGACGTACTAGTACGCATAAATTCTAGCGCCGTCAAATCTCGCGGGAAAAGGCTGGTAGGTCTAGATGTGAGAGAATGGGTCTGTGTGGTGGGTGTGTGCAGTAGGAAAAAAAATCTGGGACCCAGTGGTGCATTGTGGGAACGCCATCTTAGTAAACAATGTCCACCATGCCTACGGTAAGTAGTTCCTCACTCCTCGGCGAATTGGGACACTTTTGTTCCCCACTGACAGATGGAAGTGCCAGTGAAGATAAGTTTCAAGGTTTTGGTGAAGTTTTGACCAAAACTAATGCCCATAATATCGGTAATAGTGAGGAAAACCCAGACGACCCTCAGCCTTCCACCTCTGCTGCTGGGCCGTCTTGCTCACGCTCAGTTGTACCAGAATCAAAGAGGAAACTCCTATTTTCCCAAATCCCAGACTCAGATGTGAGCATTTGTGATGACAGTGATAGTGATTATGAACTACAAGCTCTTCAAACTAGTTCCAGTAGTGATAGCGAAGTGCAATATTCCCCAGTGAAGCGTCAGTATATACGACGACGTATGCGCTCTGGTAGTGTGTCATATGCTATTCCAAGGGGAAGGAGTACATCTCAGAGTACATCCCGTGGTTGTACAACAGGAACTGACAGTGAAAATGACGATGATAGTGTTGCAATTAGGATGGAAAATGTGCATGGTGGTGGTGGTGCCGGGCGTGAGGCACCAGCAGTGGGCCATGCTGCCACCACGCCGCTGCCTCAGCTGATCTACAACAAAGGCCACCATCCCCCACCCACCCACCACACCAGCCTCCACAACCACAACCACCTGTCATTGTCCAGTACCCACCAGCAGACCGCACCTGGGATTGGCAGGAAGATGTCAATTTTCCAAATTCCCACCAGTTTGATGACAGCCAAAGTGGAATACAGCCATCCTGTACACTTAGGAACAATGCCAGTGAACTGGAATGTTTCAAGTTATTCTTTGACGAACCCCTGATGGAAAGTATTGTCATGGAAAGCAACACATACTACGAGTACACCATGGCAAACAATACTTTCACCAAAATCACGTCTACACCAGTGGAAGGAGACAACTGTGGCCGAGATGTATCGTTTCTTTGCCACAATAATGCTTATGCCACATGTGTATAAGCACAGTGTGAAATCATACTGGTCAACAGACCGCCTGATTGCAACCCCAGGTTTCAGTGATATAATGCCAGTGAATCGATTTGTGCTAATGTTACGTATACTTCACTTCACAGACAAAACCAGGCCTGACAGAAACGACAGGTTATATAAGATTAGGCATGTGTTTGTGTATCTGAAAGAGGAATTCAATATGTATTTTTATCCCTTCAGGAAGCTTGTAATTGACAAGTCTTTGATTCTGTTCAAAGGAAGACTCTCTTTCAAGCAGTACATACCAAGCAAGAGGAAACGCTTTGGTATAAAGTTGTTTCTGCTTTGTGATTGTTACAGTGGTCTGGTATTGGATATTACTGGATACACTGGAAGTTATACATTGCAAAATACCAGGAAGTTATTGGGCATCTCTGGTGATGTGGTTAGAAGAATGATAGAACCATACCTTGGTAAGGGGCATATATTATATACAGATACTGGTACACAAGCCCCTTACTCAGTGATTTTTTGCGAGTGAACATGACAGATGCGTGCAAATCGGAAACATATGCCCAGGTTTGACACTGGCACTCGTAGAGGTGAGGTGCAGGCGTTTGCTGCCAATGACATCATGGCATTTCGGTGGCATGACAAACAAGATGTCACACTATTGTCATCAGTTCACCCTAATGAAATGGCAGACACTGGCAGGCAGCATAGAGAGAGCAATGAACCCATTCTAAAACCTGCAGCTGTGACTGATTACACCTTCAATATGCGTTCAGTGGACAAATGTGACATGTAGATTGTGTTCGCAAGAGTTATAAGTGGTACATAAAACCTTTTCCATCTTCTGGACATTTCCATGCTGAATGCTTATAATATGTATAAGATGAGGACCAGAAACAAACCACCATACGGCAAATTCTGTTTGTCTGTCATCAGACAAATAGTATTCAAGGAACAACACCTGCAATAGACCGCCCACCAAATTTTCAACAACTTCCTTCTTGTTTGAAGCATGGTGATCACTTCCTGGTAAAACTGCCTGCTACTGCTTTCAAGAAAAAAGCTCAGAAGAGGTGTTACGTCTGTGCACATACAAGAAAATGCCCACAACAACGCAGAGACACTCGTTTTATGTGTGAGGAATGTAAAACGCCACTGTGCATGACACCATGTTTCAAAGACTTCCACAGGCTGCAGAACTTCTAGAAACATTCTCTGTGACTGTATTTTTTTTTTTTTCAACAAGTCGGCCGTCTCCCACCGAGGCAGGGTGACCCAAAAAAGAAAGAAAATCCCAAAAAGAAAATACTTTCATCATCATTCAACACTTTCACCACACTCACACATTATCACTGCTTTTGCAGAGGTGCTCAGAATACAACAGTTTAGAAGCATATACATATAAAGATACACAACATATCCCTCCAAACTGCCAATATCCCAAACCCCTCCTTTAAAGTGCAGGCACTGTACTTCCCATTTCCAGAACTCAAGTCCGACTATATGAAAATAACCGGTTTCCCTGAATCCCTTCACTAAATATTACCCTGCTCACACTCCAACAGATCGTCAGGTCCCAAGTATCATTCATCTCCATTCACTCCTATCTAACACGCTCATGCACGCTTGCTGGAAGTCCAAGCCCCTTGCCCACAAAACCTCCTTTACCCCCTCTTTCCAACCCTTTCGAGGACGACCCCTACCCCTCCTTCCTTCCCCTATAGATTTATATGCTTTCCATGTCATTCTACTTTGATCCATTCTCTCTAAATGACCAAACCACCTCAACAACCCCTCTTCTGCCCTCTGACTAATGCTTTTATTAACTCCACATCTTCTCCTAATTTCCACACTCCGAATTTTCTGCATAATATTTACACCACACATTGCCCTTAGACAGGACTGTATATGTGTATATAAAATATAGAAAAATAGTAATAAACAACATTTCATATCGTTTGTTTGTGTAAATATTTTTTGTAAACAAAACAATGACAACAGTGTTTATGCCCTTATTGTGTAGTATTGAAAAAGAAATAACTTACAAAATACTGATCATACTGGTCTCACAGGCCATAAAAGTTACTTGGAAAAAGAAAAATTAAAAAATAATAGAAATTAGTACATAAAGTAAATAAAAGAATACCGGGTGACGGCAGTCGGCGATGTTGCCACATGGTGTCCCTTTTTTGTCAACTTCACGCCTCCATATCATGGTAAGTATTGAAGTGTGAACAAGGTAACTTATGAAGGGGTTTAGAGAAAACAGTCAGTTGGATTTGATTCCTGAAGGTGGGAAGGACAGTGTCTGCCCTCTAAAGGAGTGGAAATGTCACAGAGAATGATCTAGGCCCTGACCAGTCCAACATAATGGTGTTGTACTGCATAATAAGTCTTGTATACCTTACTTGATCTTGATCCTTCTACAATCTTTTACCTTTTTTACTTATTATACATCATAGCAAATGATTTTCCTACATCTCTGCACCAGACTGAGGCTCTTGCTTAGTGACCACCTGCAGTGTCACATCCTCAACTATGTGGTGCACAGCAGTCTCAGCCTGACCATGTACGTGTGTATCAACATCCCCTTCAAATCCACCTTCACCCTCAGTGAACCCTTCCCCCTCTGTAAATGCCCCACCGTCCCCTTCTGTTTCCAAGCCATCAGCCTGAACACATTCCTGGGCATCAGTATCTTCATCACACAAGTCAGAGTCTGCCAAAACTGCAACCTGAAATAAATTAAAATATTAAATTGTTAAAATAAACATAGAACATATTCTGTAAAGATATAATTATACTGTACTGTACACTTAGATAATTTATCTATGATACAGATGAATAGTCAAGTGATTTTGAGCCACATGACAGAGCACGTCAACAACTTTCAAATATTTCTCCGTCAATTTTTGACCATATATACACAACTATATTTGTCTTATACAAATAAGAAGAGACAAGACTAATTAAAAATTAACCCCATAGGCTCAAGAACTGTTTAGTAAAACAGACAAACTAACAATTCCCTGATTTTTTCATTACTGTACATGTACATAGAAGAAATATATACATTAGAACAGCATGAGAAAATTGTCAGGGCCAATGGCAGACTGGTACAACCAAAATTCTGGTATAAATATACAGCAAAACTTTCATTACAAAATGTAAAAAAGGAGTACATGTACACAAAATATATCTAAGGACTGTTAATTGGTACAAAGATCCTTACCCATGAGGTCTGATCTCAGACCAGGACTCCTAAATTTAAAGGCAAATATTATAGGAATAAGAACTTCATTAATAAGAAATACCATGAATTTAAACTTTGATAAGTGTATGCTGAATATCATTAGAGGTTTGTAATATTTGCCTGTCATCTTACATGTCCAAGAGAAGGAGAGAGAGAGAGAAAAAAAAAAAGACTGGTATTTGTGCCAAAGTATAAAACATTTAACAGGTTTCCATTTCACACTTATATGAAAGGATGGCAGTACCTCCATGGATGGTTGCTGTCTTCCACCTTAGCAGTACAGTACTTACTATTCTGGAAATCTACCTTGAGCAAAGTATATCACAGTAGAAGACAGGAGGATGTGCAACCTAAGCATAATGCTTCATACAATGAATACTAGTTTAGGCTGGAAATTAACACAGTACATGTGTATCCTAAAACTGGTCTGATACAGATCACTTCTGGATAGAAGTTGTAGAAATTGTGTTTTTATGGAATTATGCCATAAAGTAAGGGATCATTTGTTTAAATATGACACCCTCAGCTGGCCTCAGTGTTAAGTACTGACACATTACAATTTTTTACAACACAATATTGGACACACCTTTATTGTCCTCACATTCTTCCACACAGTTTCTGATGGACCATTACATCATGAGTACAGCTATTACTGAAGAAAGCATGGGAATTTGTAATTACAGTGTAATGTACAACTGAGGTGAATGTGCTTCAGGCTGGGTAGCCACACAATATTACCTCTTCCAAGTCTTTTGGTACAAGTGATGTTGAAATTTTATATATTATTTAAGCATAATGTGGGAGATAAGAATTTGGAGGAAGTACATGTAGAATTGAGCATATTAGAGCAAAATAAAACTATTTTTAATTTATATTGAGCCAGGATAGCTTGCTGGCCACCTACCATCAGTTAACATCTTACCATTTCTCAGCCCTTGGATATATTTTTCCAGTATTCACACACATGCTCTCTTGTTCTATAATTGCACAATAAATTTAGAATTACTACACATTTTAATTAGAAAGCAATTATGTTGGAATTCCATTTATTTCAAAATTACATGTAAATGTAGAACAAAGTAACTTTTTTTTTTTTAACATGCTAACCATCTCTCACTGAGAGGGGTAACTCGAAAAACCAACTCTTTCACCATCATTCACGCTATCACTGTCTTACCAGAGGCACACAGATTCGACAGTTTAGATGTCCCTCTAAACAGCAAGTACCCCAAACCCCTCCATTAGAGTGCAGGCACTGTACTTTCTACCTCCAAGACTCATGTTCAGTTAACCAGTTTCCCTGAATCCCTTCACGAAATATTACCTTTCTCACACTCCATCAAGTACCAAAAACCACTAGTCTCCACTCACTCCTATCTAACTTGCTTCCACATGCCTGCTGTATGTCCAAGCCCCTTGCATACAATACCTCCTTTACCCACTCCCTCCATCCTTTCCTAGGATGACTCCTACCCCTCCCATCCACTATACACATGTATTTATACACCCTCCAAGTCATTCTATTTTGCTCCATCCTCACTAAATGACCAAACCACCTCAACAATCTCTCCTCAGCCCTCTGGATAATACTTTTAATAACACTGCACCTCCTCTTTATCTCCAAATTACAAATTTTCTGCATATTTATGCCACAAATTGCCCTTAGACACAACATCTCCACTGCCTCCAGCCTCCTTCACACTGCAAGATTCACACCCCATGCTTCAAACCCATAAAAGTGTTGGTACCCCTATGAACTCGTACATTCCCCTCTTTGCCTCCAATGATAAGGTTCTTTGTCTCTGCAGATATCTCAAGGCACCACCAACCTTTTTCCCCTTCATCAATTCCATGGTTTACCTCATCTTTCATATACCAATCCGCTGACACATCCATTCCCAAATATCTTTACGCATTCACTTCCTTCATACTCCCTCCAATTTGATATCCAGTTTTTCCTTACCTAACTCGTTTGATACCCTCATCACCTTACTCTTATCTATGTTTGCTTTCAACTTCCCTCTACTCACCCTCCCAAACTTATCCACTAACCTTTCCAACTACTCTTCAGAATTTTCCAAAAGCATAGTATCATCAGGAAAAAGTAACTGTGACAACTATTTTGTACTAGATTCCACATATTTTAATCCCATTCCTCTCCCCAACACCCTAGCATTTATTTCTTTTACAACCCGGTATATAAATATGTTAACCCTTTCAGGGTCGCCAGGCCCTCTCAGAGACTTGTTCTCAGGGTCGCCCAAATTTAAACAAAAAAAAAAAAATTATTATTTCTTATGAAAAGATAGAGAATCTTTTCCTGATCATAATGACACCAAAAGTATGAAATTTGATGGAAAACTTACAGAATTATGCTCTTGCAAAGTTAGCATCTCAACGATGTTTACGCATCGGCAATTTTGCCCACTTTGAGCCCTATTTTCGGACAATTCCATTGTACTAGTCGACAAAAATCATAACTATTTCACTAGAACTCCATTTTTTCTATCGAATGAGTACAAGAAACCACCCATTTGCTGATTTCAACTATCCAATACAGTGGTCAGAATTTAGCAATTTTGCCAATTTCACACAAATTTCAAAAGATGCCAATTTCCGAATAGGGTCCAGAATAAACAAGAAAGACATTCCTGGCACTAAAATAACATTTCCTCTGTTCATTAGTCACATCCCTACTCCCCTCTTACATTCTTTTGCTTTCCACTTTGAATTTTTGTTTTCACAAATAATAGAAGATTTACTGTTATGCAGACTACTGCATTAGTGTAGAAATTGTATAAGTAATATCAGCGCACTTGTGAAAGAATATTAGACCCACCAGTTGACGTGTATTGGATGCATAGCATGATTTGTTTACTTTTAAACCCTGGTAAAAATCGAACATTTCTGCTACTTTGAGCTCAATTTCAAGGTACTTTTCATTGTAAAACCAGTCAAAATCATCTCAATTTCTGTAATATGTCTTCCATTCTATAAAATGAGACCAGGAAAACTAGAATACAACAATAAATACCATACGAAAATACAGTGCAAATCCGCTGTTTTAATCCAAAAACACAAAGTTTTTTTTTTCTCATTACGCACTGTGTGCTGCAGGATTTTTTTATACTGCGCACACTGACCACATAGACCCATTCTTTCATATGTAGGCCTACCAGCTTTCTCTCGCTAGATTTGAGGGCGCTAAAATTTAGGCGTAATAGTACGTCAAAAACCCTGGTGCGTAAGCCGTACTAGTACGGCCGAAACCCTGAAAGGGTTAAACAACCATGGTGACATAAAAAGTAACATGTTAATATTTAATTGCTTATCATTTTAACTGACAACCATGGACACTCAGGTGAGAGTTCAGCTCTCTACCTGACTCACCTTTCCCTCCCCCAGGAGTAACTAGGAGAAAGGACCAATTTACTAGAGTAAACAGAACTGCAAGATTACCTCCCCTCCTCCCTACCTACCTATCAGTCAAACTCTCATAACATATCAAATACAGTGGACCCCCGGTTAACGAACTTTTTTTCATTCCAGTAGTATGTTCAAGTGCCAGTACTGACCGAATTTTTTCCCATAAGGAATATTGTGAAGTAGATTAGTCAATTTCAGACCCAAAACATACACGTACAAACGCACTTACATAAATACACTTACATAATTGGTCGCATTTGGAGGTGATCGTTATGCGGGGGTCCACTGTACTGTTTATATTCATCTTGGACTTGGTTTTGTCTTACTGAACAAATTCCCTTAAATTTTGCTAAAGGTTCATCTACAGGTGATAATTCATCTTATACTCACCGAAATGGTCAATTCCATCTTAATGAAGACTGATAATGGAGTTTAAATATATAAACATTTTTCTCTACTATTTACACTAAAAATGTGGTATCCTACCTGAGCCAGTATATCTGCAGGTGCTGGTTCACCATCTACCAACCGTCCTTCTGCTCTTAGTCTTTCTTCTGCCCGCATCTGGTACCACTCTCGTCTTATTTCTTCTTCCTAGAAGTCAAAATGGTGTTAGATTCTACTGTACTACCAACTTTTAATGCAGTATGTTGTTGTTGTCTGAATATATCACATTATAAAAACAGACATCTTTGCCACAAAACTCAAACTTTTCAACTGGTTTCTAGCCAGGTAAGGAAAACAAATAAGAAAGATATATTCAGATATCTGGCATTCCACGACTTGGATAAACATGAGACAGAAATGAAGAGACCTCAGTTACCTACAGATCATGTAAGAGGGAGGAGTTGTCACACTTGCCATTCACCTATTTTTCTATGCACAATTGTCTACATTTGTTGCCATTTACAGCAGTTACTGTTGATAATAATGGGTTAGGAGATGATTTGCTTGGAAAAAGTTTATATCATCTTTCTCCTAGACAAAGGAGTCCCTGTGAAGGATACTGAAGAAAGGCTGAGATGCACCCTGCCCCATGACACCACACCCATTAGGAAGAAGGGGTCTGGGAGGCCTCAGAAGACCACTCCATGTACTGACACTCTTCTGGAGAGGAAAGATATGCTAAACTTTAAAATTACTGTTTAAGATTTAAAGAATAAACATCCTGAGGTCCTCGGAGAAGTGGCCGTGCAGATACAAACACTGCTGGGCTGCCAAGAAACTCCCCTTTTCACTGAGAGAATGTACATGGGTTAGACCAAAGATGATTGGAGGAACATCATGTTTAGTTATGAATTAACTGTGTCATCAGGAATGTCTCAAAGAGGGTTCATGGCTCATGTTTTGACCCCTGCTTCACAATCAGGATGGTCAAATAACCTGCAAACATCATGTTTTTTTTTTTTTTCAGTGGTATTGGTAGTTGTGATAGTATTTATTTCCTGACGAATTGGAAGAACTACTTACAAATTTTTCATGACAAACTTCTCACTCATTATCATATTCATGACAAGCACCTTGATGGGCAATGGAGCCCTATGCCATTACAGCAAAACGGTCAAACATTGGTCAAGACATAATGAAATCCCTGTTTTAGTGTGGCCACGAAACAGCCCAGACCAAAAATGCTTAGGTGTTGAAATCCAAAGTGGCAGAGCACTAAATCTCTAGCACCTTAAAGAGTGTGGACGTCTTGAAATTTTTATGATATATGTGGCTCTGACTTATTTCCAGAAACTACACGACTCTTTGCCAGAAAGGATTAAAAAAGTAATTATGTATGTCGTTATCACGTCTCCCTTAACTCTCCTGTCCACCAGTGTCGTCAGGCCAATTTCCCTTAACCTTTCTTCCTAGGATATTCTCCTTAACTCTGGAACTAGTCTTCTTGCAAACTTTGCACTTTCTCTAATTTCTTGATGTGCTTGACCAGGTGTGATTCCAAACTGAGTGCTGCATACCCTGGTATGGGCCCAACATACACAGTGTACAGTCTTGAAAGATTCCTTAATGTGTGTGTACTTGCCTATTTGTGAGTACACACACAGCACAATATGTGTGTGTGTGTGTGTGTGTAGGTGTGTGTGTGTGTGTGTGTGTAGGTGTGTGTGTGTGTAGGTGTGTGTGTGTGTGTAGGTGTGTGTGTGTGTGTAGGTGTGTGTGTGTGTGTAGGTGTGTAGGTGTTGTGTGTAGGTGTGTGTGTGTGTGTAGGTGTGTGTAGGTGTGTGTGTGTGTGTAGGTGTGTGTGTGTGTGTAGGTGTGTGTGTGTAGGTGTGTGTATGTGTGTAGGTGTGTGTGTGTGTGTCTAGGTGTGTGTATGTGTGTAGGTGGGTGTGTAGGTGTGTGTGTGTAGGTGTGTGTGTTGGTGTGTAGGTGTGTGTGTGTGTAGGTGTGTGTATGTGTGTATGTGTGTGTGTGTGTGGGTGTGTGTGGTGTGGTGTGTGTGTAGGTGTGTGTGTGTAGGTGTGTGTGTGTAGGGTGTGTGTGTAGGTGTGTGTGTGTAGGTGTGTGTGTGTAGGTGTGTGTGTGTAGGTGTGTGGTGTGTGTAGGTGTGTGTGTGTAGGTGTGTGTGTGTAGGTGTGTGTGTGTAGGTGTTGTGTGTAGGGGTGTGTGTGTGTAGGGTGTGTGTGTGTAGGGGTGTGTGTGTGTAGGGGTGTGTGTGTGTAGGGGTGTGTGTGTGTGTAGGGGTGGTTGTGTGTGTGTAGGGGTGTGTGTGTGTAGGGGTGTGTGTGTGTAGGGGTGTGTGTGTGTAGGGGGTGTGTGGTGTGTAGGGGTGTGTGTGTGTAGGGGTGGTGTGTGTAGGGGTGTGTGTGTGTAGGGGTGTGTGTGTGTGTAGGGGTGTGTGTGTGTAGGGGTGTGTGTGTGTAGGGGTGTGTGTGTGTAGGGTGGTGTGTGTAGGGGTGTGTGTGTGTAGGGGTGTGTGTGTGTAGGGGTGTGTGTGTGTAGGGGTGTGTGGGTGAGTGTGTGTAGGGGTGTGTGTGTGTAGGGAGTGTGTGTGTGTGGGGTGGTGTGTGTGTAGGGGTGTGGTGTGTGTAGGGGTGTGGTGTGTGTAGGGTGTGTGTGTGTAGGTGTGTGTGTGTAGGGTTTGTGTGTGTAGGTGTGGTGTGTGTGTAGGTGTGTGTGTAGGTGTGTGTGTAGGTGTGTGTGTAGGTGTGTGTGTAGGTGGTGTGTAGGTGTGGAGTGTGTGTGTGTGTGTGTGTGTGTGGGTGTGGTGTGTGTGTGTGTGTGTGTGTGGTGTGTGTGTGTGTGTGTGTGTTGTGTGTGTGTGTGTGTGTGTTGTGTGTGTGTACTCACCTAGTTGAGGTTGCGGGGGTCGAGTCCGAGCTCATGGCCCCGCCTCTTCACTGATCGCTACTAGGTCACTCTCCCTGAGCCGTGAGCTTTATCATACCTCTGCTTAAAGCTATGTATGGATCCTGCCTCCACTACATCGCTTCCCAAACTATTCCACTTACTGACTACTCTGTGGCTGAAGAAATACTTCCTAACATCCCTGTGATTCATCTGTGTCTTCAGCTTCCAACTGTGTCCCCTTGTTACTGTGTCCAATCTCTGGAACATCCTGTCTTTGTCCACCTTGTCAATTCCTCTCAGTATTTTGTATGTCGTTATCATGTCCCCCCTATCTCTCCTGTCCTCCAGTGTCGTCAGGTTGATTTCCCTTAACCTCTCCTCGTAGGACATACCTCTTAGCTCTGGGACTAGTCTTGTTGCAAACCTTTGCACTTTCTCTAGTTTCTTCACGTGCTTGGCTAGGTGTGGGTTCCAAACTGGTGCCGCATACTCCAATATGGGCCTAACATACACGGTGTACAGGGTCCTGAATGATTCCTTATTAAGATGTTGGAATGCTGTTCTGAGGTTTGCTAGGCGCCCATATGCTGCAGCAGTTATTTGGTTGATGTGCGCTTCAGGAGATGTGCCTGGTGTTATACTCACCCCAAGATCTTTTTCCTTGAGTGAGGTTTGTAGTCTCTGACCCCCTAGACTGTACTCCGTCTGCGGCCTTCTTTGCCCTTCCCCAATCTTCATGACTTTGCACTTGGTGGGATTGAACTCCAGGAGCCAATTGCTGGACCAGGTCTGCAGCCTGTCCAGATCCCTTTGTAGTTCTGCCTGGTCTTCGATCGAGTGAATTCTTCTCATCAACTTCACGTCATCTGCAAACAGGGACACCTCAGAGTCTATTCCTTCCGTCGTGTGTGTGTGTGTGTGTGTGTGTGTGTGTGTGTGTGTGTGTGTGTGTGTGTGTGTGTGTGTGTGTGTGTGTGTGTGTGTGTGTGTGTGTGGTGTGTTAGTTACCATTTTGTCCTAGGCACATGTCGATTAGACACTAGGCCTGTTGTACTCACCTATTTGTGATTGCAGGGGTCAAGTCACAGCTCCTGGCCCTGCCTCTTTGCTGATTGCTACTAGGTCCTCTCTCTCCCTGCTCCATGAGCTTTATCATACCTCGCCTTAAAACTATGTATGGTTCCCGCCTCCACTACTTCACTTTCTAGGCTATTCCATGGCTTGACTACTCTATGACTGAAGAAATACTTCCTAACATCCCTTTGATTCATCCGAGTCTTCAACTTCCAATTGTGACCTCTTGTGTCTGTGTCCCATCTCTGGAACATCCCGTCTTTGTCCACCTCGTCTATTCCGCACAGTATTTTATATGTCGTTATCATGTCTCCCCTGACCCTTCTTGCCTCCAGTGTCATCAGGCCGATTGCCCTCAGCCTTTCTTCGTAGGGCAATCCCCGTAGCTCTGGGACTAGTCTTGTTGCAAACCTTTGCACTTTCTCTAATTTCTTGACGTGCTTGACTTGGTGTGGATTCCAAACTGGTGCTGCATACTCCAGTATGGGCCTGACATAGATGGTATACAGAGTCTTGAATGAATCCTTACTGAGGTATCGGAACGCTATCCGTAGGTTTGCCAGGCGCCCGTATGCTGCAGCAGTTATCTGATTGATGTGCGCCTCGGGAGATATGCTCGGTGTTATACTCACCCCCAAATCTTTTTCCTTGAGTGAGGTTTGCAGACTTTGGCCATCTAAACTATATTGTGTCTGCGGTCTTCTTTGCCCTTCCCCAATCTTCATGACTTTGCATTTGGCAGGGTTAAACTCAAGGAGCCAGTTGCTGGACCAGGCTTGTAGCCTGTCCAGGTCTCTTTGTAGTCCTGCCTGATCCTCGTCCGATTTGATTCTTCTCATTAACTTCACATCGTCCGCAAACAAGGACACTTCTGAGTCTATCCCTTCCGTTATGTCGTTCACATATACCAAGAACGGCACAGGTCCTAGGACTGACCCCTGTGGAACCCCGTTTGTCACAGGTGCCCACTCTGACACCTCGTCGCGTACCATGACTCGTTGTTGCCTCCCTGTCAGGTATTCTCTGATCCATTGCAGTGCCTTTCCTGTTATGTGTGCCTGATCCTCTAGCTTTTGCAGTAACCTCTTGTGAGGAACTGTGTCGAAGGCTTTCTTGCAGTCCAAAAAAATGCAGTCGATCCACCCCTCTCTCTCTTGTCTTACTTCTGTCACCTTGTCATAAAACTCTAGTAGGTTTGTGACACAGGATTTTCCCTCCCTGAAACCATGCTGGTTGTCAATTATACACTTGTTTCTTTCCAGGTGCTCCACCACTCTCCTGATGATCTTCTCCATGACCTTGCATACTATACACATTAGTGATACAGGTCTGTAGTTTAGTGCCTCATGTCTGTCTCCCTTTTTAAAAATTGGGACTACATTTGCCATCTTCCATATGTATGTATGTATGTATGTATGTATGTATGTGTGTGTGTGTGTGTGTGTGTGTGTGTGTGTGTGTACTCACCTAGTTGAGGTTGCAGGGGTCGAGTTCAAGCTCCTGGCCCCGCCTCTTCACTGGTCGCTACTAGGTCTCACTCCCTGAACCGTGAGCTTTATCATACCTCTGCTTGAAGCTATGTATGGATCCTGTCTCCACTGTGTGTGTAGGTGTGTGTGTGGGGGGGTGTTATGTGGGTGTGGGGGGTATGTAAAATAATATATTTTATCTCTTGCTCTCATAGTTTCATTCATTCACTTGTTTATCATTTATGTTTGCAAAATTTATTCTAATAT